GCCGCCAAGTCGCTGTCTGCTCTTCCTCTGCTGTGCGCAGTCGAATTCGGCCGACACCTTGCATCGCCACACCAGCGCAAAACAGCTGCCACGATGCTTGCGTGCCCAACGCATCGGCACGCAGCGCTGCGCCCTGTGACAAAGGGATTGTCCTTTCGAATCGCAACACCACATCAGGGATCTTCTTCCTTAGGGTTGCGAGGCTGACCACCGCGGTGGCACTTTGTCTCACTGCCCGACCAGCGATCCAGGAACGGTTTCCAAAATAAGACATCCATACTTACGCAGTAACCCCCCCCCCGTACAATGCGACAGCATTCCCTGACATTGCGTCATGAATATTTTATGTCATGCTTTTCTGGATGCCCTCGGTGATTTTAACGCTTTCAAAATGCTCAGCATTAGCGCATGCCCGCAAACGGCGCCCGAAAAGGGTTTTCCAACCCCTCAAAAAATGGTTCGGGCGCTGCCTGCTCCCAGCACTTTCTCGATAGTTTGGAGTTGCCTCTAGACATACCATGTCATATCAATATATATATATATATAAATATTAACAGATATCAAAAGATATGAGGAGATATCCACATATATTTCAAAAAACATCTAGAGATAGCAAGCTACATCAAGATTTATCCAAAGACTTCAACAAATATCAAGATCTTGGGATATATCAAGAGATGTCCAGATATATCCAGAGATATTAGGAGATATTTAGAGATATTTGAAACATCAACATATATCAAAAGATATCAAGATACATCAATGACTTTGACACATACATACCTTCTCTCTTGACAACAAGGTGAGAAGCTTTCAAGATCATTGGCTTTTGTTCCCTGATCCCCTTCTTCCATCGAACAGCGCCCGAAAACGATTTCCAAGCGCCTTAAAAAACACGGTTCGGGCGCCGCGTGCAATCATCGATGGGCGCCACGTTCATGAAATAGAAACACTCTTTCCATACCATTGGGTCTTGATTCCCTTTCTCGCCCTACGGGCATTCCAAACCTTCTCGAAATTCTTTCTAAAACCCGGCTCGGGTTGCCGAACTAATACGTTGCAGCCATGATGCACAATAGATTCCAGGAAGTCCAAGACATCACGGCGGCCAGCGAAGGACTGCGCTTTCTGCAAGTCCAAGCGAAAAGCCAAGCGTTGCGGGCTCGTTTCTGACTCCACTTGCGGGCTCGCTGCTGACTCCGCGTTGCCCACTGCCGTCGCCTGCGGCCAGCAAGAACTCATGCGGTGCTGCCTACACCACTCTGTTCTTTACTTCCACATATGACGCAACAACCTGTCAGTCATCGATGCCCCCCTTTCCCCACAACTTTCCCCGACCGCCTCTCGCCATGCAGGCCTCGATTTTCTGTTCGAGCAAATATTTGCGTACACTCCACTCGTCGTCAGCGGCTGTCCGCAACACGAACCCTTCCTCCAATTTCATTGGAAGCCCCATTTCCTGCAGTATTGCTGAGCAAAGGCTTAAGCTGGAGCAAAGGTTGGTGAAGCCAAGAAGTGGGCTTTCATTGACCTGTACGGCAACATCACCGCCTCTGGAAACAGTGCACAAGATTCCAGGTATGTCACGAGCTTGCTGCTCTGCCCATGACACTTGCAGCTCCATGAAGTTCACTCCAAAGGAGCTTGACGCGAAAGTTGACGTCTTCGCCTTCCAGCACCACCTGGAAGCCAATCGCCTTGCGCTTCAGCTCCCACCCTCTCCAAGACAGGAGAACCATCGCGATGACGCTGCCAGTGGGGTCGCCACTAGGCCTGTTCACGCGCGCCTGGTCTGCAGAGGTGATGATGCAAAACATTACGACACGCCTTGGCCTTCTTGAGCTTTAAGAACTTGAGAGTTCCCTTTTGGAGATTGACGAACTTCTCCGACCATCTTTTGGATCTCCAGGTCCATGGCGTGCGCCATTGCGCCGTTCGTCACCAACTCGGACAGGAGGGTGTTACACCTGCCGCACAGGAGTGGCTGCGTCCAAGACTTGCTCTGCAGGCTGCTACGCTGCTACACTGCTTTGACAAGGTTGGCCGTTCCCTACTGGTAGGCCTTGTTGATCTTGGCGCAGATCTCGGACCGCTCTGCACTATCCGACGATGCGATGGAAGTCGTCCACGTGGCCACCCATCACGCCAATGACCTTTGGATGACCAGTTTCATCCTTATCCGTGGAACTTGCCCGCAACCATAGACACCTTTCTCCCATGGCCGGACGGCCACCGACTGAACAGAGAGCGCGATGCAGATCAAGCTATTGGCCCCGACAGGCAGTGGTACTGCCGTATATAATGTTCTTAAGTAAGAATCTTCACGATGCATTCGGGCCCGAAGAGCTTCTAAAGTTCAACAACTCCGCTCGCCCACATCTCTTCATCAGCCGATGTGGGCTTGGTTTGTAGGAAGCCCGTTGCCAGATCCAAGCCTTTGAGTTTCGAACCATGCTGGTGCAGGTGTTCTGGCACAGGATGAGGTTCCGGGCGATGACAGACTGCGCGGGAGAGTTGCTTTTGTACGACGATGATCCCAATTCAAGATGCTCGCAGCCCAGGAGCACGACGCGCGCCATGGCTTTCTTGTCCCCCTCTTTGGTTGAGTCCATCTTGGCGAGCAACCGTCAGGATTGGGCCTGAACTGAAGGCCACAGTGGTTTCAGCATCATTCAAGCTCTTGCGAACAGCTTGGTTCTGAAGAAAGCTGTTCACCTCTTTGGTCTTTGCTTTTGCTGCCGGTGGGGGGTGAAGTTCAAGTCAAACTCCATTGTCGTCACATCGGGGTAGTCATCCATGATGGCTTCAAGGCAAGCCCAACTCTTGTTCTCTTCGATGACCATGTTGTTGATCCATACCATGGTTCACTTCACCATGTTCCTTGAGCTCAGGGAGAGAGGTCGGCGAGCAATCAACACAAAAGACTCTAAAAGAAGCTTCCAGCCGCTGATCTGCAGATTGCGGAGCTGGATCCATCCTGTGACTGACATGTCTTGCAAAAATGAAGTCCAGAAACATAGAGCTTTCCCGTTTAAAGGAATGTCATGCCTGCTATAAGAGATGCAAAGAACAGAAGCACAGTCCCTCGGTGCGAACCCAGTAGCCACCTCCACTTGTGCTATCAACACCGTGGCACGCAGCACTATGCCACCGCGCACGTCTAGTGGAGTCTGCCCGGCGCGTAGTCCAACATCCATGGCACCAGGGACTATTCGGTGGTTGTCTCCTACTGTAGACTTGGAGCTAGTTTCCGCCCGATCCGTGGACTTCCAGGCAAGGACGCAAACGCTATCGGATAGGTCTGCTATCACTTGAGCGTCTAGTCTATGATACATGTAGAGGATGTATGCCGTCTGTTAACGCATACGAGTAATGTATGTAAAAACAAATAGGTATTATATATATTTGTACATATGTGTGTGTGCATTATCCTCCACCAACAACAACTTTGGCACTGCGCACTCCTTCCAGCAAATCTTACAGAAACCTTCAAATGGTCGCGCCCTCCAGCCCCCTACCTCAACGCCCCTGGCCGGCTGTCGGGCGTAAGCCCTTAAATCCGGGCGCCGGCGCACGTGCCCTGCCCGGAGAGCCTTCGGTGGTAACGGAAGGTTATATACGCTCGCCGCCCCAACCGCCGACCCTCGGGCCCAAAACGGGGGGACCCCCTTCCCACTTCCTCTCCACCTCGGGGTCACTGAAGTCCCTGTAGTTTACGGTGTTTTTTGCGTGCGTTGTTCAAAAACATCGTCTTTTTTGGGGTTTTGGGCCCCTCGGCGGCCGAGAATTTCATCTTGGCGATGTTAAAAAACGTAGGTTTTTCCAGGGTTTTTGCTTTGCGGGAAGGAAAAATCGTAAAAGTTGTATCGGACGATTTTTTCAACATAAATTGCCTAACATATCCCCAACATAGGCCCACGATAGCCAACATATCCCCAACATATGCCCAACATAGCCGCATAGCCTCCAAGATGGCTCAACATAGAGCCAACATAGGCCAACGTACGCCAACATAGGCCCAACATAGGCTCAACATGGGCCAAGATGTGCCCAACATAGACCACATGGCCCCACTTGGCCCAACCTAGGGCCAAGATGCGCACCAGATAGCTTAACTTTGCTCAATATAGGCCCCACCAAGGCCAACATAGGCGTGACATACGCCCCACCCAAGTGGGCCGGCGCCCGCTGTTAGGCGTAAGCCTTTAAATCCGGGCGCCGGCGCACGTGCCCTGCCCGGAGGGCCTTCGGTGGTAACCGAAGGTTATATACAGGCGCGCCCCCTGCCACCGACCCTCGGGTCCGGACCTCCGGGTCACTGAAGCCCCTGTAATTTACGGTGTTTCGTGTGTGTGTGTGAAGTTTAAAGATTTACAGGGTTTATTGCGCATATCGAAGTACGACGCGGCGAAGATGGAGAAATGCAAAAAACGCTGTGTTTTCCAAGGGTGGTGTCGGTAATGCGCGCCGGGCGGACAGGCATAATCGACATTTTGTGGGTAGAGGCACTCCAGACGATTTAAATTGCCTAACATATCCTCAACATAGGCCCAAGATAGCCAACATATCCCCAACATATGCCCAACATAGCCTCCAAGATGGCTCAACATAGGGCCAACATAGGGCAGCCTGGGCCAACATACGCCAACTTAGGCCCAACATAGGCCCAACCTAGGCCAACATAGGCCTGGCTCAACGTGGTCCCAAGATGTGCCCAACATAGACCACACGGGCTCAACTTGGCCCAACCTAGGGCCAAGATGCTGGTGCGCTAGCCCGGCCCCCGTCTCCAACACGGAGCAGTTTTCCACCTTGCCCCCACCCAGGGCCCTGTACGCCCCCGATAGCTGCACGTGCACCCGACCCAGCCCTACACAGACCCTGGTGTGCCGGCGCCCGGCTGTTAGGCGTAAGCCTTTAAATTTAATATACCGTGTACATCCGTGTACTGTAACCATAAATTTCCCTAAAACATCATAAAACACAGATCTGGCAAGCACCTTCTCAAGCACAGGAAGTTCATCCTTTCGAAGCTCGAAGACCTGCAGCAAACTTGCAGTTTATCCAACCGTCGGTGGCATAGCTGGAAACTTTTCTGGAATGCACGGTGAATCAGTTCCACATCTTTTCTGCACCTTTCTTCACCCAAGAACGCTACTAGTAACAAAGGGCATCGCTACTAGGAGCAAGGACGCTACTGGGGGCTCCTGGCCATACTACTAGGAACAAGAAGCTACTAGTAACAAAGAGCATCGCTACTAGGGGCTCCTTGTCTGACTAATTTGGTCCACTAAATTTAGGCTTCACCCCTGGTGAGTTTTGACTCAACGGATCAAGGATAGAAAACCAGGTGCACAAATGCCTTCAAAACTATTTAATTGATATACGTGGCGAGAACCCTCTGCACAACAAAATTGATAAGAGAGCCTTATTCAAGGGGGCCTTCCCTTCTATTGTGCTTCTTTTTACTCCCATCTGCAAAGGCACAATCAAATCTCCACCAGTCGTTTTCTTTGCATAGTCTGCACCACATGATCTCCTTGCCTCAAGGACAGCAGCATTTTTCCCGCTGCTCAAGCATTCCATAAAAAGAACACATGCGGAAGATCAAACTAAAGGAGAATACTTGTCAGAACAATACTCGCACCAAATGTGTACATGGCGCTTGCGTGGAGAATCTGTTCGACTCACCGTCCGGCGGCCTTTGCCAGAACATACTCTGGTTGCTTGGACCAAGCATGCGAGGAATATAGCAGCTGCAACAAGTTGAAGCAACCTTCTCCTCGTAGTTTCACCTGCCCGAAATCCGCAAAAGTAAAAATCGCAGTGACAGCTTAAAATCTATCAATTTGGTCAATGGCAAACTGTCTGCATCCTCACATGCATTCTGTTCTTACTCTTTCTGACCTCTTTTGACAAAGCAGCGACAACTGGGTCGGTGGATCATGACAGTACATGACAGTACCAAAGCTTTTTCTGTAGGTTCTCCTCTCTCGAAAGATTGTTGGTGTCTCGCACTAAGGATGCTTTAGCACCTGAGTACGAATTAAGTTCTAAGTTCTAAGCATATGCAACGCAAAGATTCGTAAAGCATGTCTGTCCCATGCTAGATCATGTCCTTGATCTTGCCTAGGTTGGACCTGCTTTGGCACCAGCCAAAGCCTGTTGAATCGTGTGTTTCCAACTAGCACCAGCGGGAGAAAACCGGGCTGCTGCGAAGAACACCATTGTGCAGTGCCTCCCAGTGCGGCATCACCAGGAAGAAGTTCTCAAAAATTGCGGCTTCCTGACATGAAAAATCCGAAGCCACATTCGCGACCCAAAGTAGCTCTCAGAGTTGTCTTAGTACACAAGCCAGTGAATTGCAGAAAAGTTATCGTCTTCAGCGTTCCGTGCACCTGTGTTTGCGCTGGCTCTCGTTCATAGTGACTAAACATGTCTAATTAGTATCTCAAGCTCTTGCACCTGGGGACCCATACTTGGGAGTTATCCGAATATTTGTCACAACACCTTCGTATGCCAAGGCACAGCTTTCTCTGTAAAGTTTCGTGGAGCTTTGGGCCAAACAAAAGCGACTCCAAGCTGGCGAATCGCTTGCCTCATATATGCTTAGGAAGTATACTTGGGGCTGAGAAAGGAAGGCACGTGCAAGATCGCACAGGGCATGAGACAATATAATAAGACACTGGACAGCACTTCCAAACAGAACTTCTGCAGCAACAACTTCTATCTGAAGGCTTCAGAACTTTTATGGATCTTCCTTCCAACCAAATTGTGCAATTGGTAGCAGCATCTTAAAGGTAAAGCAAAACAAGAGATATATGTATATAATTTTGTATATACAGTTCCTACTGTGGTTTCTTCGGCCACCGCTTTCCAGTCAAGCGGCGGATGTTGTTCCCGAGCGATCAGCTCCAGAAACAGGCTCGACATCAATGAACGGCCATGGTCATGACCATGTAACTTCTCCTAAGCAAAATCTGCAACAAAAGCAAAAACTTCTGGCGAATGCAGATGAAAGCTAGTCTGCCAATATAGTAATTTCCATTGATACAGAATGTGCATTGCAGTCTTGATAGAAGACTATTTCATAACATACAATGTGGCGTCTCATTCTACTTTGCTTTCACAGCAGAACTTCATGATGCGCGTGCTTCCAGTCCAACATGATGGCATTACCATCACATGCTACACTTGCGTGCTCGTGAGGTTGCGCTGGGTCGCAAGATTGTTCAGCATGACAGTCTGGTCAACGCCACCAGTGATGCCGTCCTGACAAATTGGGGATAGCACATGGACATGAGAACAGCCAGCGGGGTGGCGGATACCTACGCAAAGCCCAATAATAACAGGGGCACTGTGTCAGCTCACAAATGCATCTGAAGGACCTTGGACTCTCTTGAGGTATTGGACCTGATTCTTCTTCTCTTTTTGGCTCTTTTGATGCTGTTTCTCTAATCAAAACTACTTGCTGCTCTGGATGTTCATCCCGGTCATGCAGGGCAGTGGGCGTGACAGGAACGCTCGTGAAGCCCATCGCCAGCGCAATGGCCACCCTGTGAGCCCCGTTCAAGAGGATGTCATTCCTTGGTGCGGAGTGACTCGCCCTGACCAGTGCAAAACAAGTATAAGTATATACATGCATACATACATATATATATATATATTATATATATATTTATAACTAGATATTATATATATAATATACTGTGGGACTTTGTGGGAAGTCGTAAACCGTAAAACTGTCCCGTGCATCATTGATCTGAGAAGACTTGATGGAATCAAAAAGAATGGAAACTGAGTGACAGCAGTATATAACAATCGAGAACTGGAGTCAAAAGGAAAGTAAAAGAGTGGACCTGACACACGCTCTTGTACAACACAACTCCCGTCACCAAGCTGCTGATCCAAGCGTACATCGCTGATGGCACCTACAAGATTGCAACAGCAAAAGAAAGAACCTAGAAACAAGAATTCAACCACCAGAAACTGTCATTCCACACATGTGTGGATAAGCAACTTCATGAGCATGAGATAAAGCTACAGCATGGCCCAGCAAGGCGCGTGTGAAGCCCAAGTAGTCCATGGAGTCGATCAAGAAGTTGAATCCATGCTCGAAGGCCTCTGACAAGGTTGGGTCCAAAACATGCGATGGAGGACATGATGAGTATCTCCAACAGGACTGCAGTCCAAGCGGATGGTGAGAGGTGTTCTGGTCCGGTTGATGCCAGCAGCCAGTAGCTTGACATGTCTTCTCAAGGTTCGCAATCTTCCACACGTGCCCGGAGCATACTTAAGCAGCCATTGCATTGAATGTGCTATATTATATATATATATATATTGTTGTCAGATCCAGGCACATCAGTCTTGCTGGGCCAGACTCCAATGTTTGTTGAGTCTCGGATCATTCCTTTACCGGCTGCACTCCAAACTCAAGATATTGGGAAGCCTCCTTGAGGCTTAGCATTGCCACAGCCTATCTTGACTGGGACACAACTGACGTCAAGTTCTTCAAGTTCTTGCTTGTCTTTATGGTGGCGGGGTGGCGGTGGCCAACAGAAAGCTACACACAACACATGTTGACGGCCCTTCCGTGAAAACAATGACGTGCCGCCAAAAATGAAGCATGATATGCGACATATACAATGTTCGTGGAAACTGCAGCAAACGTCGGCAGGCCTGAACCCACCAACATCATAATGTCTTGCCTGCCTTCTGCTTCCAGTGGTTCCGCCCAAGTCTTATAGCGTAGAACAATACAACATGCAAAAACTAGTGGCAGTACTAGTGGCATGCCCCGTGCATGAGGACCAAATCCTTTGTGGTCTTACTGCCTTCAAGGTTGTCCCTTCGCTTATATAGTCATATCAAAGTTTGCAGACTGAGACACCATGCCAGGCAACTCCATGAAGTATCAACAAGCAAAGACAAAGGTTGACAGCCAAACCCCGATGCGGCCTCCTTCCCAAATTTTTTGCGGCAGGGCTCCGCCACAATGTTGATGTCGAAGGCACAATGCTCTGCCAAAGCTCCCATTGAGATGCCACAGTCTCAGTCTCAGAGACACAACTGATAAAGTGTGACAAGTTCGCAGAAGTTGTCACTGCCTACAACCCTCTCAACAAAGACTGCGTTCAGAACATCAGCCGGTTGTTGCCCCTTGATCTTCCACATCTGAAATGCCACGAAGGAACTGAAGTAAACATCCTCTGCCCACTGCCCAGCCTGCGGGTCTCTTCCTGAACACCCAAGTAGCAAGTTAGATTCAAATCACCGCGCTGCAAACAATTCAAATGGCTGCTCTGTGTGTGTGTGCGTGTAACCTGCTAGTCACATGCAAGGCTTGCTTCCATGTTGTTATCTTTAACTTCTTCGAGATGTGGGCCCCTTCCTTTTCAAAGGCGGTAAAGGCGGTGGCGAATTCGAGTTAGCAGGGGGCACATGGGCACTTGGATGGCATGGGCCAACGAAGACCCATCCAAGTTGCGGTGCAAATGTACCTGGGCTAAGCCACAAACTCAGCTTGTTGAACACGAATCTACACTAGCATCACCCTGAATTGTAGGCCTCGTCTGAGGAGGTTCCAACCTGATCACTTTACAGCTCCTCAACTCTCCCATATCTCCAGTGTGTATGTGTGTGCGCATGCGTTTCACCACCTGTTCCCAAGGGCTGTTGTTAATTGGCTTTGGCTGAAATTCAAGCACTAGATTGGTAAGCATCCACATAACGTCTCGTGGCCATGTTGTTCGACGATTCTTCTATTCATGGCCCGCTTGCATGAGCTACATACATACGCTTATCAGACTGGGAGTGTGGGAGAGACCAAATGCGAATTGATCAAGCTAAGCATGATGTCATGCATTCCTTCTCAAGTGTCAAGGAACGCTCACGTTTCAGCCCAATCTGACGACGGTGGACAGCATAGATCAGCTTGGGCATGATATCAATACCTTTCAAAGACAAGCAAAAGTTTGGTTTGAAGAACCCGAGACAACTTCTTTTCAGGTTTTGGATCAAAGGTTCCGGTCACGTTTTTCGTATCCCTAGTATCCTTCATGATAGCCCTCTCCCTAGCGATGGACGAAGATAAAGGATATGTGGCATAACTACGAAAAGCTTGAATAAAACTCATACAGCAAGGCGCGTCTCACTGTCAGGAGGGATGCTGGGTGTCTGTCCCATTTGCTCCGCAGCACGAGTACAGCTGGACGAGATCGACAAGGTCCATAGGACACTCTCAAGTTTGCAGGGTGTTCCATTCGCACCTGGCCAAAGACATGTGATCTGTGAGGATTCCCCGGATGTGAGGTCAAAGCTTCATATCGAGGATACGATGCGAGCAAAGTTCATGAAAACTTTCTCTGAACTGATTCAATCTCATTTCAGAGCCCTGTGTCCCTCGAAGTCTAAATTACGTCGCACTTGGATTTCCCTATCGTGCAGCCTTTGTCTCCCACTTCTCCAAGAGTTGCTGCAGCAAGTTGGGTCCGTAGACTCTGAAGGCTTTGTCGTCTCGCATGATGAAACAGTCCTCCCCAACCTGGACGACATTATGTTGGGTGCGATGTTGAGATCGTGTCATTTGTTTCTGCATATTCTACCTTGTACAGCACAATTTCATCATCTTTCAATTTGTTCTACAGGTGTGCATTGTGCAGATATACTGTTGTCGAATCCTAATTGGTAAAGTGGGAAGACATGATTTAAAAGAATTGGCTGTATTATTCCCGCAGCCTGAATCATTTAGCGGGTGGAAATAATATTTTGAAAAACGCCCAGGGTGTTGTATAGGGGCTGCCAGCTGACCACCCTCCCTCCCACCCACCTCAAAATAATAAAGTTATTATTTTTAGGTGGGTGTACCCACCTGAGCATAGAATTATTGTGGAGGTAATATAGTTCAGAAATAATAAACCACACAGCATGATAAGATAGGGGGGGTGGTATAGACCACCCACCTAAGTGGGTAGATATATGGGGACAGCTCCTAGGAAAGTGTGCAGTAACAGCAATCGTAGGTGGTTCAAGCGCAACCACCTACAAAAAATAATCGCGCCCTCTTTTCTGCCATTCTCTCTCGGTTTCTCTGTGGTACCGTGAACGTCTGTCCAGTCTTTTTGCCTTGATGGGGCAGCCGATCCGGGAGAATATATGGAAAATATTGAGGACAAGCAAGATCTCTGTCCAAGGCAGGTCAAACAATCGCCGTATTTCAGGGGTGGGGCTGGCCTAAGGGACCTCTGAAATAATTAGTAGATCGACTGATTGACTGGAATGTGTGGATAGCGTGATATGGTCCATAAAATTATTTCAGGGGTGGGGTACCCCCTAAACGACCTGTTAAATAATAAATAAGGTGGGGGGAATGTTGCCAGTATTGGCCACTTATTCCATGGAAAATATGGAAAAGGTTGAAAACATTGAGGGGTTTAGTAGAAAGAACCAGTAAGGGAGGCAAGGCTTACCCCACAGACATCATTAATATATTCAAGTAACTATTTATTTTGGGGGTAGATGACAGGTAGCCCACCTGCCAAATAATATTATGTTTGTGCTCGAATGGATTCTGGATGGATCCCAGATAAAGGTATATAGCCCCCTGATAGGATGGATCCCAGCGAGAATTTGATGAGAGTGTGAAGCCGGCTGCTTTGGCTACCAGAGTTTTGGATCAGGTGTGCCTTGGCTAGTTCAAACTGATTGCAGCGCGACAAACGATGACTTGGTGGCAAAGCATAGCTGATTGATGTGGGAGTCAGACGTTCACGGTCCTACAGAGAAACCGAGAGAGAATGGCAGAAAAGAGGGCGCGATTATTTTTTGTAGGTGGTTGCGCTTGCACCACCTACGTTTGCTGTTACTGAACACGTTCCTAGGAGCTGTCCCCATATATCTGCCCACTTAGGTGGGTGGTCTATACCACCTCCCCCCCTATCTTATCATGCTGTGTGGTTTATATTTTATATCTTGATTGTCTCAGCTCTGTGGACAAGCACATCAAATTATTTTTGCTCTGGCACACGTACCCCTCCACCTGCCAAATCATTTCCAATAAACCCTGCATCATACCTTCTTCCACGGGTTATTGTTATTCTATGTCATTCAGTGCTAAAATAATATTTCAAAATAATATTTCATTATATATATTGCAACATGCCATACCATATTTTTTCTACATGGTAGATATTATTTTGACCCACCACCTACATGCCTTTCCAAATAATACTTTATTGATATTATTTCAAAAGACTTATTTGGAGACGAGACGGTCACCTCAAAATAATTTCGCTCGGCAGGGGCTATGGTGTTGTTTTCTGTTCTTTTCTTTTACTGTATATCTGGTGTGTTTTTTGATTTGGTTTTCCATTGTTCAACTATTGCTTCCCTTTCAGATTCTTGCTCAACCGGATTTGAGGTGTTGCTTCATTTTTTGAACATTTTGGAACTCTCACCTGAAACGCGTTTTCAAAACCCTTTTTTGAAACGCGTCAAAGTCATTGCTCCAAAATACTTTTCAAGCGGGGAGTACACAAGCGCAGGGGAAGTGAATTACACAAACTGTTCAGAGAGTCGGAATAATTCACAAACTTGAAGCCCTCGAAAAGATCTGAACTTGGCTTATTGATGCTTATTGTTCAGTTATTGATACAGTAACAGTTATTGCTTCCCTCTAAGATCCTTGCCTGACCTCTTCTGAGGCTTTACTTGGCTGCTGGAACTCTGACCTGAAGCTGATATTAAAAAAACAAACACCAAGATGGAACCCACGAACCCGAATGCAAACACGTACTCGAAAACAAACTCTCAAACAATTTTTGACACTCTTGCAAGGAACACTTTTGTGGGACACTCTTGTAGGACATTCTTGTGGGGCCGGGGCACTCTTGTAGGACAGTCTTGTAGGACATTCTTGTGGGACACTCTTGTGGGACACTCTTGCGGGACACCCTTGTTTGTCACTCACACTCTTGTGGGACGCTCTTGCGGATCAGTCTTGTATGAAACTCTTGCGGGACAGTCTTGTATGTCACTCTTGCGGAACTCTCCTGTGGGACACTCTTGTCGGACTTTCTTGTGGGACACTCTTGTGGGGCTCTCTTGCGGGATCCTTGCAGGACACCATTTGGAGGACACTTTTGTGGGGCACTCTTGTAGGACACTCTTGTAGGACACGCTCGCGGGACACTTGTGGGGCACTCTTGTTGGTCACTCTTGTGGGGCACTCTTGTATGACACTCACTCTTGCGGAACACTCTTGTAGGACACTCTTGCAAAACACTCTTGTAGGACACTGTTGCGCGTCGCTCTTGTGAGACACTCTCGTAGGACACTCTTGTGGGGCACTCTTGTGGAACACTCTCGTAGGACTCCCTGGTAGGACACTCTTGCGGGACACTCTTGTATGTCACCCTTGTGGGACACTCTCGAAGAACACTCTCTCTGCTCGAACACTGTTGTACTTCAAGTCTACAAAACGAGCGCTTCGTACGAGACTTCCTCCAAAAGTCACACGTCAAGTCTCCAAAACGCGCGCTTCGCGCGAGACTTCCAAAAATATCTCGTCAAGTGCAAGTCTTCAAAATGCGCGCTTCGCACGAGACTTCCAAAAATAACTCGTCAAGTGCAAGTCTCCAAAATGAGCGTTTCGCACGAGACTTCCTCAAAAACTCACACTTGAAGCCTGCAACACAAGCGTTTCGTACGAGACGTCCTCCAAAAGTCACGCGTCAAGTCTGCAAAACAAGCATTTCGTTCGAGACTTCCTCCAAAAGTCACGCGTCAAGTCTCCAAAACGAGCATGTCGCACGAGATTTCCTCCAAAACTCACACGTTTAAGTCTCCAAAACGAGCATTTGGTGCGAGACTTCTTCCAAAAGTCAAGCGGGAAGCCCCGTCAGAGCACACGCCAATCCCGATGTCACAGCGACATTCACCTCCACCACATTTCGCGACCTCACAATTCCCTGCGCCTGCCACGAACACTTACGCGTCCACACGTCTAACACGCACTGCACTTGCCACGAAATGTGACCTCCGCCACACCTTGCAACCTCACGATTCCCTGCGCCTGCCACGAAAATCGCACTTCCACACCTCAAAGCCCGCACGAAGTACTGCACCTGCCACGAAAGGTGACAATATCATATCATGTGAGCTTCAACAAAATTTGCACCACACCACACGTTTGGAATGATTTCGACGCGTTCTGAGCACACTCCCGTCCACCAAAATCGCCACAAAAACAGCTTCGGTGCAACATCCTGAACGCCAATCCCAATGTAACAGCCACATCCAACACCACAAAAACACCACTCTCCAAACGCCAATCCCAATGTGACTGCGCAGAAAACTGCGGATCTCACAAAACGCTGCGCCTGCGCAGTGAAATCATCCTCCACACTTCAGATCAACATCTTACGTTTCCACACGTTTCCGCGCTATTTCACACGAATCTGACACATCACGCTTCCATACCAAACCCTCTCCAAAACCTTTCCCCAATGGCAGCGGCCTTAGCGGCCTACCGCGGACGGCGGCGGTCGGTTGCGGACGGTTGACAGCGGCTGCGAACGCTGAGACAACGGGTCGCGAACAAGGCTCTACCCCCAGACCCACAGTTAAACGAGAACCCTTCGGAACTTCGCTACGCGCTCGGGAAAAAGAAAACTATATATATATGTATATATAAGTATTATTACAACTCCTCGAAATCAGGGCCCAAACAAAAATGTGAGAGTGCACCCACCTACCACCCAGCCATCACACACGGCTTTTTCACAGTTGCCAGTGGCTGACCCCTACTCCTACTACTAATAATAAAAATATACTACTACTAATAATAATATACTACTACTAATGATATACTACTACTACTACTACTACTACTACTACTACTACTACTACTACTA